AAAGAACCAGTCTGTGTGCTATCACTGCTTAACAACACACTGCATACAAACACAACTCATCATTACACCCTGAAACAACAAATACACAAAGACTGGGAGGCAGACAGATGAATGGTGAGGCAACAAGGGTCATCTGGGGGGTATTTACACCTTTATCTATCCCGTTCCCAAATTTGCATGTCTGCCTTTTTGTTTAAATGTTTTTAATTCTTTCAAAGGAACTGTTCCTCTGCAGCCTCGTGTTTATTATGTTCCTGTCACCTAAAACAACATGGAGCTATTTTGTCAGTCGAGTCTAAACAAAATGGTTTATTTAACAGCTGTCAGCTCCTCGTGCTAGTTTGCAGGGAGAAAAATTAAGCTGTGTTATGGCTAGGATTAAAAATATACACTATTGATATGCAAAAATGTTTTGGAGGTTTTTAGAAACATCTCTGTCCACACTGATTTTTATCAATCCAAGTGAAACATCTACCTTTTTTTCTTACGTTACATTAGACAAACATAATTTATGAAATAAAAAAATGCAAAAACATAAATATTTCCAGCTGTTTGCCATTAGGCCAGCATTAAACACTTCTCACATCAAAGCTCAAGAAACTATGTGATTAGTAGAAATGTAAATTGTTTGAAAATGTATATATTACTTCCATAAATGTGGTTTCTTAAAATAGATTGTATGACTGCAATAAGTCTACATTTCAAGTTTAAGATTTTTGTACCATTCACTTGAATGAAAACTAATGACCTGCATTATGACGAGAACTTTTGCGTGGTAGTAGCAGAGAGAAGTCACCAATAGATATGTTGAGTGCTCACGGATCATGCAAGATATTGCAATATCACAGAAGACTGCAGGTAAAATGAGGTTGAAGATTAAACCAAAATGGACATAAATGTGCCATTTTTAAACATAAAATTATTATCTTTTTTAAAAGTTTTAGCATGAAAGGAACTGGGTGAAATACATCCCTTCAAGGATTATGCGTGCGTCAATTACATGTCAAGTGATGTTGCTTACAAACAGACAACGAGAGGTCAAACTTCACCAAGGTCACCAAGGAAATTTGGCTTGGTAGTTGAATTTTGACTATAAACCCATAACTACATTCATTTACTCTTGCTTTTATTTCTGTAAAGTAATAAAACCATCCCAACTACAGTTAATTATCGTAGTAGAACTCAGAACCGAATAGAGCAACTTTACTACTGAACAAACCAAGATAAACATGCTAAAAAAAAAAAGAAGAAAGAAACTAAAACATGCAACTCTCTATTGTTGTTAAAAGGCACAACTAATTGAGACACAAATACAGCTTTTCAGAGTCATTATCGACTCACTGGTGATCCCACACAATGTTAATTTAGCGTATGGATTTTTAGGACTGAATAGCAGGATGAGCTCATAAGATAAAGGGATGACAGTGGAGGAGAGACAGCTGTTTGTTTGAATGATTGTACCATCGGACAGTATGGACCTCTCCCAGAGGAGACATTGTCTAGATATTTCTTTTTGCTTCACATCACCCAGTGGAACAGGAAAGCTTTCAGATGGTTGTGGAGTTAATGTAAAAAAATAAAAACCTCAGTGACACTTGTGCACCAGCTTGCTGCTCACTTGCAGACATGCACACTGTTATTGTGTAAAAAATACACAAAAATCTTAAATGGTTGATTAGAAATCCACATTTATCACATACATGTGCATTCAAGTCATGAGTCTGTTACAGCTACAGGTGAAGGGCATGGCAGGGGTAGCTACATGGTTCCATGTGCATTTCTACATCTTTTAGGTCGATTACAACATTAGTGCTTCGAGGGAGCTGACAGTGAACACGCACAGACTTATGGCAATGCACCATCCCTCTTCCACATCAGCTAGCGAGACAAATGCCTTGCAGCTAGCTGCCATGTATAGAACATGAAGCACATGATGAAACATGCAATTAAAAGCTTCTGTGCTGGTGGGGGAGTGGTGTGTGGACACTCCTGGTTACATATTCCCTCACTGATTAATGGAGGGTCTTTGGGAGGGGAGGGGTTAGCGAACCTGCCAGGAGTAAAACGTAACGAGGCGCGGTGGCAGATTTATGTCCCCGCCCTTCCCCTTCCCCCAAATCCTATGCGTTCATGACAAAGTGCCCCCTAGCTCCCCCATCGCATCTCCTTGAAATGTCATTACATGTTGGCTTGTAGCAGGCCAGCAGAGAAGGAATGAAGATAAGCATTAATGTTAATGAAAATCAGGCTTTTAGCCTTTTGTCTTTAGACTGGATAGTTCTTTTGATCAGTTTCTTGACCAGATCCATATTCTCAACCAGTACCTCTATTCATTCATCTGTCCAGGCAAACTCAACTTCTTTTCTTCATATACGCCTGTATCTCACTGGGCTGCAACTGCTAAAGACTAGTTAGCAAGTGGTGTTTGCAAGGAAATCTTCAAAATGTTTTGAAATGTTTGCAAGTGTTCTAAATTTCCTCTGGTGAGTTGCAGAAACCCGAAGTCTTGTTTGTTGAATTTTGAACATGTCCAAAAAAATTGTGTGAACAATTTTTCCTCTCAAAAACAGTTGCATCCATCCATCCATTCTTCATCTTCCACTTGTTCCGAAGTCGGGTTGCTGGGGCAGCTTGAGCAGGGAGGCCCAGACACACAGCACCTCTTAATTCTTCTGGGAGGATTCCAAGGCATTCCCAGGCCAACCGAGACATAGTCTCTCCAGCATGTCTTGGGTCTTCCATGGGGTTTCCTCCCAGTCAGACATGCCCGAAGCACCTCCCAAGGTATGTGCCTAGGGAGCATCCTTACCAGATGCCCAAAACACCTCAACTGGCTCCTCTCAATGTATAGGAGCAGTGGTTCTATTCAGAGTCTCTCTTGGATAACTGAACTTTCACCTTATCTGTAAGGGAGAGTCCAGCTACCCCACGGAGGAAACTACAATTTCATCCACCTGATCCGAGATTTTGTTATTTCAATCACTACCCAGAGTTTGTGGCCATAGGTGAGAGTAGGAATATAGACTGACCGGTAAACCAAGCTTCACCTTACAGCACAGTTCCCTTTTCACCACAACGGACTGGCACAGAGTCTACAATACTGCAGACATAGCACTAATCTGTCTGTCAATCTCACGCTCCATTATTTCCTCCCTTGTGAACAAAACTCAGAGAAACTTGAACTCCTCCACTTGAGGCAGAACCTCACCCTTGACCTGAAGAGAGCAATCCACCCTTTTCTGACTGAGGACCATGGCCTCAGATTTGGAAGTGCTGATTCTCAACCCAGCTGCTTCACACTCAGCTGTGAACTGCTCCAGTGAGAGCTGAAGATCACGACACAATGACACAAACAGGACCACATCATCCGCAAATGGCAGAGGAATCCTGAGGCCACAAAAAACAGATAACCCCTGCCCCCTGGCTGCACCAAGAAATTCTATTCATGAAAGTTAAACACAATAGATGACAATGAGCAGCCCTGGTGGAGTCCACCTCCCACCCTGAAGGGGTTCAACTTAATGCCGGCAATGTGAACCAAACTCTCATACCGCTTGTATAGGGACTGAACAGCCCGTAGCAATGGGGCCCCCAACCCCATACTCGCGGAGAACCCCCAACAGTGTACCCCTAGGAACACGGTTGAAAGCCTTCTCCAAATCTACAAAACACATGTAGACTGGATGGGCAAATTCCCATGATCCCTTGAGGACCCTAGTGAGGGTAAAGAGCTGGTTCAGTGTTCCAAGGTCAGGACAGAACCTGCATTGTTCCTCCTAGATCTGAAGTTCGACCAACGATCGGACTTGCTTCTCCAGTATCCCTGAATAGACCTTACCAGGGAGGCTAAGGAGAGTGATGCCCCTATAATTGGAGTACACCCTCTGGCCCTCTTTTTTGAAGAGGGGAACCACCAAATCAGAATGCCAATCTAGTGGCACTGCCCCCGATGTCCATGCAGTGTTGCAAAGGTGTGTCAATCAAGGCAGCCCCACAATAGATCCTTAATGAAATCAGGGTGGATTTTGCCCATCCCCAGAGCCCTGACGCCGCAGAGCTTTTTAATTACCTTGGTGACCTCAACTACACTCCATGGTTATGGACAGACCAACCCAGAAATCCCCCGACTCAGCATCCTGCAGAAGACATGCCAGTGGGACTGAGAAGGTCAGATAAGTATTCCTTCCACCGACAACATTGCTGGTTGAGGTCAACAGCACTCGACCCTCATTGAACATGTTGTTCATAAAGTGCTGCTTTCTCCTCCTCAGCCCCCTGATGCTTTGCCAGAATCTCCTCAGAGCCGACCAAGAGTCTCTATCCAAGATCACATCGAACTCCTCCCACATCCGAGCTTTTGCCTCAGCAACAGCTAAGGCTACAGACTGCTGTTTAGAGCTCTAGATTTGTATTTTGACACTTCACAGGAGCTCTCTTTATGACAGAAACTATCCAATACTATAGCCAGTCTATCTAGTCTGTCCAGATCTAACCATGCCGATGATAAACTATGATTGCTAAGTGATTTAAATCTCTAGTAGTACTCTAGTAGATTATATCATAAATATGGGGGCTGCTGCCAACATAGGCAGAGGTGGGTATAGTGTATTGGAGATGGACTACAAAGTAATGTGCATTGTCCAGAATACAGCTTTCAAGTCATGCACACAAAAACAAAACCATAATTTTCAAACATCATCTCCGCAAAACACACCCACGTGGTTTGCTAGTTGTAAACACTCAAGAGTTCAAAAACTGTAACAGAAATTTATTTTTTATTTTTTCCCCATATTTGGGTCACCAACTTGTCTCCAACAGCAGTCCAGTGAGATAGTGGCTTAACCATGCAAAGATTAAACATATTGAACTTATAAGTCTTTGACATTTACTTTTTACACATAAACTGATCCTTTTTTAATCACTGGAAGGCCTTTGGTTTCATGATTACTCATCTCTGCAGCTTCTCATAGCATCTGGAGTCTACTGTGTGTGCAAAATACCTTTAGCCTGTCCTTTGGCAGAGCCTGGGCTCCTTTCATGATGACTTCTTGAACCCTTTCAACAGACAGGTCACTTCCAGCCTGCTCCAGACGCTGACTGAAAAACCCAATCACCTAAAGGACACAAAAACAGGAAATGACCATTTAGAAACTTGCAAAATATACAATTTGTCATGTGGTTTGCACAGTCAAAGAAAAAAAACAAAGAATTATAAAGTTGCACTGTGTTAATAATTTTCCAAATACATTTTTAACGTTATGAGCATCCAATTCAATTCAATTCAGTTCAGTTTATTTATATACCATACCATTTTATTTATAGAGCAAGTCGCATATATATGGTGCCAAGTCACAACAGAAGTCAATTATAATTATTTTTTACCAGTTTAAACAAGGGGAATGATCAGCTTTTTGTATTTTTTATTAAATAAACAGAAACATCGCTGAGTGATTCTTATCCTGTGGGTTTTCTTGTCAATAAGTGCATGACCTTAGCATTTTTTAATATCCACTGAGCCAAAGGAACCAACACAATCAAGCTAAATGTTCTTTATTGTGTTTACTCGAATGAGAAGCCTTTAGGACTCATTCATCACACCACCTGAACAGCAACCCATAAATTGCCACTGACGTGATCTCATTTAGTGTTGTAGCACTCCATCACTACCTGATGTAGAGGCTACTCTTGTATGAATACTGCATTTTGTGCATGTACAGCAGCATCTGTGTTGGCATGTTTGAAAGAAGCTGAGACAAACTTAACAATGAGCCACATCTAAATGACCAAATCCTGTTGCAGTAGCAAGACAAATAATCCATTAGGCCAATTTCCTTTTGTAAAAAGGCCTTAAGGTGAGAAAGCCAGTACCATTTATTTTTTCCTGTTGAGTCAAAATCCAGAAACGTTTAGTTTAAAACTGCTACTCACTGTGTTGCAACTGTTGGCAACAAATTGTGAAGTGCATTTGAGACGGCATTTCTTAAAATGTCTTACAACATTTGCAAGGGTTCTTAACACCCTCTTGCAGGGGCGTCACTCTAGTGCTGCAGAAAATTTGAACATGTTGTCTGGGACATTTCTCAACAAGTTTTCTTTGAGTTAGAGGGTCAAAAAGATGAGAAAACTTTGGGAGGGTTTAGTGATCTATGAAACCAAACCAGGAATGAATTGTGAGAAACAACGTAACATAAATTGCAATCAAATTGTGACAAAATAAGAAACCTTGTGACTAAAAACATCCCAAAGCCTACACATTCACTGGAATGTCAATCATTTTTTTGCAGTTACATGTGTAACAAATGTGTAACTGAGTACAACATCAGTGTGATTCCAAAATACAATGTGTGTATATTTTTTTTCCAACTAGTCGCCAACAGTTACAGCTCAGTGAGATAGACTTAAGCTGAAAACAGCAAAATTCTAATATTACAAAAAAACAAAAAAAACAAAAGCTGAAGTTTTTTAAAAGTCAATTCATTTATAGCCAACTTAAAAGCTGTCATGAATATAATGCCAAAGATCAGACAATACAAAGACACAAGACATGATCTACAAGAGTTTAACTTAATAAACAATAAAAACAATTATCGTTTTAAACTACTACCATTCGGTGCAACCCCCCCCCCCCCCCCGATAAATCATTGCAGCTCATGTTTTGATGTGATGGAATTTAGACGTTTTGATGTTTATAACAAAAGATAAATAAAGTTATGATTGCTATCAACATCATATCTCACTGAAAGTGATTCTACACAGTGCATTGCTACAAATATTGAGTCCGTTTTGATAGAAGTGATTGAAGATGGTTGCAAATAAGAGGGTATAAGGTTAAATGGAAAACTGGATGGATGCTGCTTTCAGTCAAAGGGAATTAATTACAAATTCAGCGTAAGATTTCAGCGTTTTTTTAATTGTTTAAAAAAAGTGCCCTCTGGGTTTATTTCCAAACAAGACATCAAGGAAAGCACGTTTTGTGTTTCCAAAGCTGTGAAGCATTCTTCCCTGAAGACATGTTTGATGTTAGAAAATTAAAAAAATCCCATGTATTACTAATTCTTTTTAATGCTCCTTTTTTGTGAAACTAACAGCAAAAAATAAACTAAAATAAAAAATCTCGAGGCAGTGTTTTCTTTGCTCAAACTCAACAGTTGCTTTAGAAAATTCAAACACACTGCTGTGCATGGGTGTAGCCTGTGTCTACGTCTGCCTAATACTAATCTTTTTATTAACTCTGAAGGCCTCTCATAGGGGGTTAATTTAAAATAGCAGAGGCAGCCTCTCATTCTGGATCTCGTGCTCACACACATTGACTTGCAAGCGTAGGAAAAGCTACAGTGAATAGCCTCGGGGAAGTTGTCTTTTTCAAGGGTTTCTAGCTAGCACGCCTCCCCCATACTTATGGATAACAAGCAAAGCCCATTGCAGTGCATCCAGCGATGTTCACATGCCAAAGTTGTTCTTCCTTTTCTACATACGGGTCTTAAATTACAACTATTTCTTGTGCTCTCAATCCCCTACAAACTTACATTTTTAAGACTTTTTATTATTACTGTTATTTAGTATTAGTAGTATTTTCACTTGAGAGAACTGGTTACTTTGTGGATACTACTTGCTTTCACAAGGCCCTGCATGATGCAGGCTGCATGCTAACTATGCATCTGCTTCAGTCCATTCAGGCCTTTTAAGCTTTACACCCTGCAGAAACAGATGACATTGAGGGAAATTTATACAGCCTTAATCTATGCAATCATTTCAGCAACTAAAGTCAGTGCCAGGAAGAAAGGCGTTTTGAGATTTGAGCTTCTTTTGATTTGCCTCTGATATTTAGAGTGACTGACCGTGTCAAGGTTCTGCATGATGTCCTGGAAGGACGGGTGCATCCTGAACTGCTCAAAGAGCTCCCGCTTGTACAGCAGCGCGTACACCAGGTTGGGATTGTGGTGCAGAGAGTTGCACAGGCAGGAGTTGATGATTTCCAGCATCATGCGGATCACCTCCTCAATAACATTCAGGTCCTGGGCCTGGGGGAGAAGGAGGATGGAAAAGGTTAATTGGTTTCCCATTACATCGGCTTCACTTATTATTTTATCTTTAAATGATTGTCTCATGGTGGAGGGGAGGGAGCAGGAAAAAAGAAGAATGATGATAAAGGAGGAGGAATGTCAGCTAAGAAGTACGATAAGTCTTAGGTAAGAAGAGAGGTGATCTTATAAGCTGCAGGTCAGGTCTTATCACAGTATGCTTCCTCAGGTCAGAGACAACTGCTACTAATGACAGGTGACAGTAAAAATACAAAGAAAGAGGTTTAAGAGAACATAAAGGAGAAAAATATATTAATTTGGGCATGGTGGCAGTCCCTTAAATATAGTAGGCTTGTCAAAAATCCCAAGACGAAGCAGAAACCATATCAATGTTCCTGAATCAGAATGTATGCCAGAAAAAACAAAAACAAAACAAAACGCATGTTAAGGTAAAAAAAAAGAAAAGAAAAAGATTTGCAAGCAATCTAACTTTCATCTCAAAAAAATCTAAAGAAAATAGTCACAGGTCAGTTGCATGAACATTTATAAAGAAATAATCTGAAGAGTTTCAGTCAAGGTTTAGAGCTCATCATAGTACAGAAACAGCACTAGTAAAAGTCACTAATTATATTCTCATGGCCTCAGACAATGGACTTGTGTCTACACTGGTCCTGTTAGACCTCAGTGCTGCATTTGATACAAATTACTATAATATTCTATTACAGAGACTTGAATACGATATTGGGATTGCAGGAACTGCTCTAAAATGGTTAAAATTATAGTTAGCTGATAGATTCCAGTTTGTAAATATAAATAATGAATCTTATTCAAACACCAACATTAGTCATGGAGTTCCTCAGGGCTCAGTGCTTGGACAAATACTATTTACTTTATATATGCTTCCATTAGGAAATGTTATTAAACAACATGGGATAAATTTTCATTGTTATGCTGATGATACACAATTATATTTGACCATGAAACCCAATGAATTCAATCAGTTACTTACGTTACAAGCATGTCTTAAGGACATAAAATCCCGGATGACCCTTAATCTTCTGTTTTTGAATACAGACAAGACTGAGGTTTTGGTTTTTGAACCTGAGCATCTTAGGGATACATTTTTCATTTTTTCGCCCTCCTTAGATGGTATTAATCTGTCCTCCAGTTCTAATATTAAAAATCTTGGTGCTATTTTTGCTTTTATCCCCCACAATAAAAATGTTACTAGAACCGCCTTCTTCCACCTCTGTAATATCTCGAAAATTAGAAACATCTTATCTAAAAATGATGCTGAAAAACTGGTTCATGCATTTGTCACGTCTAGACTGGACTATTGCAATGGTTTGTTATCTGGGTGTCCAAATACTTCCTTAAAAAGTCTTCGGTTAATCCAAAATGCTGCTGCCAGAGTCTTAACTGAAGTTAGTAGGAGAGATCATATCTCTCCTGTTTTAGTTGTTCTCAATTGGCTCCCTGTCAAATCCAGAATTGAATTTAAAAAAATCTTACTTCTAACCTACAAAGCTCTCAACAGTCTAGCTCCATCTTATATTACAGATCTTATTTTTCCATATTTTCCTAACAGTGCACTTCGCTCTCAGACTGCAGGTTTACTTGCAGTTCCTAGCGTTTCCAAAAGCAGAATAGGAGGAAGATCTTTCAGTTATCAGGCTCCTCTCTTGTGGAGCCAACTTCCAATCTCTGTCCGTGAGGCTGACACATTATCCAGTTTTAAGACTGGGATTAAGACTTTCCTTTTTGCTAAATCCTATAGTTAGGGTTGGCTTGGGTTTCCTGAGTTGTCCCTTAGTTATGCTGCTATAGGCTTAGACTGCTGGAGGACAAACTGACCACATCTTTTCACTATACTACTGTCTTTACTTACTCTGCTCAACCTGTTTTGTATTTGTAATTATTTTTTCTATCCTTAACATGTGTTTTTGTCTTTCAGGTACACCTGCACCTATATCTGGACCTACCATTCTGTGTTCGTTTGTCTCTCCTTTCTGTCCTCTCAAACCCAGCCGGTTAAAGCAGATGGCCGCTTGTCCTGAGCCTGGTTCTGCTGGAGGTTTCTTCCTTTTAAAAAGGGAGTTTTTCATTTCCACTGTTGCCATTGTGCTTGCTCAGGATGGGAGACTGCGACGAAGTGGAGCTTCAACGAGTCTGCTGGCTTCCTTAGGTAGAGAACTTTACTAATTGGCTTTTCTATGCATGTGTACATTCCTGTAAAGTACCCTGAGACAACTTTGTTGTGATATGGCGCTATATAAATAAACTGAATTGAATTGAACAGTATGCTTTAGGATATAAGAAAACATTTGACATTTTGAGAACATCCAGCAGTATAAAAACAGTGTACACTATTCTGTATGTAATATAACTCCAGACCAAATTCCCTGTTAAATGGTGGTCACTGAGATTTAGAAGTCTCAATACATTTTATTGAATTTGAACACATTCTAGTTTCTCCTCAGAATATCCAAATCATCCACACTTGCTTGGTACAACTTCACATCACACAGATATGATCATGGCATTATTTCCTCATTTAAAATTATTTAAACCACCTAAATAAATTCTACTGTGTAGCTTGTTTCTAATGTATGATAGTCAGTTTAAATATATTTAAATGTTGGGTTATTTTTACCACTTGTGTTTATTTTTATTGCCTGCCGCTGCAAGGTTAAGGCGGGTGTTAATGGCTTTGCCCATGTCTGTGTGATTTATATACATTTTTATGATTAGAAATACATACCTGATTAAGTTTTGGAGCCAATCTAATGCAAGATAGGCACCACAGCTAAACAACATTAGTTAATAAAAATGTCTATAACTTTGTGAGTTTTATAGATCGAGCTAAAATTTGTTGTAGCTGAGAGTCATTCACAACACATGTTTATTGACATCTTGCAAAACTGAATGAGAATGAGCATCTGGTTATTTTCAAGGCTTAACCAAACCAATAAAAAACTGTCATAAAAGTCAGCAGGTGATGTCCATTCCTTCAGAGAATGCAAGAACTTTACCTGTTAATGAAGAGATAATAAATCACTCCATTCAGTATCACTGCATTCTTATCAGTTACCCTATTAAAACCTAACATGAAAATAAAAAAAACGTAAAATTTCTAATTGAGGCTACATTTACAATGTTCTAATAACCTGATTGAGATGCAACATTGATTAAAATGCTGTAAAAAGCATTTTTAAAGTAGTAAATAAATACGGTTGGTGATCTATGTCAATCAAATTGCATATCTTAAAATTGCATGCACTTTATCTGCACAATTACATAGTTTTACAGCATCTGTGACACACATCACTGATTTCCAAAGAACAACTTCAGTTCCATTTACAAGTAGCTTTAGGGTTTATTTTGAAGAACGCAATTGCTTAAGATTGACTTGTTTTTAAAGACTGGATCATTTATTTTTGTTAACAGATCTGTCAGCAGAACTGGATTTCTGCAGGTAGGAATCATTTTTGAACAAGGAAGAAAAGCCTCCGTTTTATGCCAATTCAATTTCTTTTAGGCATGAACTTCATCCATGAAAAACAATATTCTTCTTTAATCAAGTTCAGCTTTCACATAGGTGTTGACAGATCAGACTATGTTTTTTGTTTTTCAATTTCAGCTAGCATTTTCATTCAAACTGACATCCAGACTAAAGATTGGTCACCCTTTTTTAATGAAAACATGTAAAGTATTATCATTTTGAATAACTACCATTGCCAGTTTGTTGGTTCAACAAAAACCTTTTACTTCCATATAACAAATGGCATGCAAAACTAACAAACAGGTAGATCTGATTAGCCTTGGGAAAATTGTTTTAATCTTAAGTGGGAATCTTTTCAATCTGCTCTGAAAGGAGGCCCCATGATTGATAAAGAAAAAAAAAAAGAATCTTGTCCTTTAGTTATTGTACTCATAACAAAATGTCTACAAGCCAGACAGACGCCACCATGACAAGATAAGGTCTTGTCTGGTGTTTTGTATGGTGGCACAAACAGCAAGAAATATGCAGAGACCGTGGGAAAATAAATTATGTTGAAACAAACCAAAAAAACAACAGATGAGTATGAAGTCACAAATATAACTGAAGAGGTGATCAGTTTCTAGTTGTCATTTACCAATAATGTCATCACTCTTAAGGAAACTACAAAATGCAGCTTTCAAACCAATCAATAAACACAAAAAAATGCTTTAACTCAGTAAAAGCTAAATAATTACAATTTTGCCAAAAGACGGAACAAAATGCACCACTAGCTGCTTAGAAGCTCAACGTGCAACACTGAGTTCACTGTACTGGCCTACGTCTACACAAGGTATCAACTGTATCTTGAGGGGTTTAGAGTTAAAAGGCTGGCTGGTCAAGCAGCTAAGAAGAAGCTGAGACAACAAAACACAAAATAAGGGATCACAGGAGTCAAGAATGTTTAAACAGCTTAGCTTAATGCAGTGGAGTTTTCATGAAATCAGTCTAATGGTTGACTGAACACAACAAACACACTGACAGGTTTTGGTGCGGATCTTGGATCTGTTTGGTTAGAAGGAGGTAAACAACAACTGAACATATCTTTACAAAGACAGAGGTATAAATGTATGTAACTAAGAGTAAGAAGTGTCCTAGTAAGCCATGAGTGTTTCATCAGTGTTTCAATGTAACAACTGAAGCTGCTCCAATGGCTTCAGCTGACGGCATATTATTTATTCACACCTAAAATCTATCAAAAGTGGAAAAAAACAAACAGATATGACTCTTCTGCTCATGCAAAGGTGGAGATTATAACTTCCAATCTTAAAGTAAAAGGCACTCTGAAATTAGACAAAACTACAGCAAACACCAGGACATTAAAC